AACCAGCACTGCTCACCCTCCGCTTCATCTGGTATCTTGCGGACATCATTGCTCAGCGCTCGATGCCTCTTGAGGATGCGGCGTTTGGTCGGCACTTCGTGCCTGATGACGGACCTGCTGCTGAGGTCTTGGCTCGCAAACGCGCCGCCACCTATCAGCGCCTCACCATGCAGCTGACGCTGGAAGCGCTCTTGTCTGGTGCGAGGCGCATGACGCCCTTGCGGGCGCAAGCACTCCTCGAGCCAGAGGACAGCTCCTCCTCGGACTTTGTCGAGTCGCCCGAGGAGTCTTCGCCGGAGGTCTCCGACTCCGATGGGGGAAACACGTCGAGTGGCCCCGACGATGGGCGCAGAGCTGGCGACTCGGAGGCGTCTCCGTCCCTCACTGTGACGTCGGGTGCCTCCGGAGAGCTCGACACCACTGGGGTGCTTGCTGCTGGTCCGAGCTCGCCTGCTTCCTCCCCGGCATCGGTCGGGTCACGCCGGTCCTTGGGCATTGCCGCGGCGTCGCCGCCGTCACGGGCGGCTACCGCTGACTCGGCTACCGCTGACTCGGAGGCTAGCGAGGAGGACTACCTCGAGCGGTACCGTGTTCCTCCGGGTATCGCGTCTAAGGGATTTTATTCCTCCTGCATGCTCCTGCTGCTTGTTTCTTGATTGCCTGACCCTTAGGCTGCTTGTCTGCGCGGCTTCGCGCTTGGGCTGGCGATGCCGCGTCTGGGTGCCAGCAGTGCTGGTTCTTTTCGGGCTTGTGTTTTGTGTGTGTTTGTGCAGCTTCTCGCTGTGGACTGTGTGCCTGCCGGTTCAGCTTGTTCCTGCTTTGTTTTGCTTGAGGCACTTTTTACCTTCTGCCAGTAAATCCTATGCGAGGTGTTCATGTGTCCAGCCTCCCTCCGTCCGCTGCCCCAGGCGGACCCCCGGGCAACGCCGGCTCCTTGTCGGCGGCTGCCCTTTCTCCGTCCGCGGCCGCCCGCTTTGTGCCGGCAGCGGACGTCTCGACT